AAATATCTTTTTTAGATCAAAAGTTATTGGCTTTTAAAGTTTGTGTAGTCTTTAAGTGTCATGCACTGTAGTAAAATACATCCAAAATATTGTATTTATACAGTATGGAACAGCAAAACACATCTAATATTTATTAATAAAAACTTTAAAGTATTATAACTTTTTTAAAACAAGCTAAATCAAAAAACCTCTGACAAATTAATAGATTTTTAAATAAACTATATTTCTGTTAAAAAAATTTTTTTTATTCTTTGTTTTAAAAAAGTTATAAAGGATTAAAGTTTATATGAGTTCAAAAAATTGACGTCTAATATAGAAAAAAAGAAAAGATATATATATTTTTAACTAATTAAAATCAATTACACAAAAATTAGCCAATCATAATTGATTATATAAGCATCAAAAATTGGCACCTATATGTATGGATTGGATGTCTTATGCTGTCCCACACTGTACAAATAGCTAGGCATTTTTTATTATTGTAAAGTTGATTAATAGTAATTGTTTGTAGTAGAATAAAAAATGCAAATTTACAAAAAAAAGATATGGAAGTTAATCTTTATTCTATCACAAAGTTTAAGATTAATAAAACTACATGTTCTCGAATAATAGAGATACCATGTTTGTCTTTTTGAAATAGAGTACTTTTATTTATTTGATTATTTTATTATCATACAGTAATTACAAAATTTATTATAATCGTTGATATTGCAAGAACTGATATTGCAAAAACTGATATTGCAAGAACTGATATTATTAAATTGATACTATTGAAACTGATTACTAGAACTGATCTATCATTCAAAAATATTTGATTGTATTAAAACAATGTTGTGAAAAAATAAAGATAAAGACAACCATGATAAGAATTTATTAAGCTTTTCTTCTTTAATTTTTTTTTTTTTTTTAAATTTCAAAGTGACTTCATGGTCGGAAGTTTTATTAGATTAATTTGCTAAGCTGCTCTTAGGCAGCCACTACTTATTTGGTACATGATATTAGAGAGTATAACTAGCCACACATACAACTTTTAGTTGCCTATTTAAGTAGTCCGCCCGAAGGTTCTATACTAGATACTATACCTATAATCTGACTAGAGGATTATATATTTAAACTCTCTGCACCACTATATCCTCATGAGGCCCCAATCCCATATAGGGTTACAACTGATCTAGGGTACTAACCAGTTAGTTACCCTTAAGTTAAACTTATTAGAACTTTTTATACCCACAATCTGGCTAGTTTAGGTTTTCGATAACTTACGTCTGAGTTCAAGAACAAGAACTTGCAAGCTGATGCTGCTACTATTACTTACTCCTGCCCTTATAGAGTTTGCCCAAACTTCGGTATACACTTAACAACCCATATTCCAGTTTTTCAAACTAAGCTATACTTCAAATTTTCTAAACTTACAATCCAGATAAGCCCAGAAGGGCTGTAACTTGCCTCTGGTCTCCACGATTAGATCTTTTTCCTTCGATTACTCACCCAACTGCCTGGTTGGTAGAGTGCCTTGCCAAATACTTTGGTTCTGTTCAGATCCTTCTTTTCTTGCCATTTGGTTCTCCTTTTCAGATCATTATATAGTACTATCAAAGATCTGTGCTATTTCTCTATTCAGGTCTTGCCAAGTAGGCTTCCCTATCTCAATCTGCTGCTTTTACTCAGCTGCTTCACTGTTGTATAACTTATATATTATACAGTATTTCCACAGCCTTCCAGTACAAACTAGTACTAGTATGACCCCGTTACAGATGCTGATCTAATAGAATACAGTCTTCAAATGCATTTCATAAATTTGAATTTTGTTAACAGTAAGATTCGAACTCTTGTCCTGCTGCTTGGAAGTGCGACAACTTACCAACTACATTAAGTTACCACACCCTCTTTTTTTTTAATTATAAATATAATTATTTAATTTTATAAATATTTGTACAGCCACGTCTCAAAAAAAAATATACATTGTATTGTTTCAATAATTTATTAGTATCAAAAAGTGAATAAAAAAATAGAATATTAATCAACTTATATGCACATATAGTAAGATTATGAAACAAGATTATATTGCGTAATAGGACAATAAGAATAATAATTAGTATATTTAAAAGTATTAATTAGCTTTATTATATGCGTGATTAAATATTTATTCAATAAATTCAATAAAAAAGTAACAATACATCTAATAAAAAAATAATACATTTTATTTAATAATATTAGAATTATTATTACAATGCATGAATTATGAATAAAATATTGATACAAAGCTATTTAATTCTATACTAATCCTATCTTTATTTTTTTATTTATACAATAAATTGATTTTGACTTTTCTATCTACAAAAAACTTATAAAAACTAGATTGCAAAAAGCAAAGTTTTTCTCAAAAACATAAAAACTTGTGAAAGCACTAGTCAAATTCTTCAAATTTTAATATATTTTAGTAATTGAACAGAATTCATTAAATATAATTATTTTCATTAGGTTTAAGTTAAAATTCTTTACTACAATAAATTATAAATAATTTATTTTCACTATCATCCTTAATTTTTTATAAATTGCATGTTCAACACCAATGCCTTTTTTGTAACCAAAATTACTCCATAATTATATTATTCTCGATCATCATATTGTAAATGAATTATATTTGATATTATAGTTTTTCGCTTTTCCTTTTTCTTTTAAAAAAGTAAAAGCCTATTAGTAAATATCATAGAGCAGAAACTAGAAATTTGTTCAAGAAATTCACTCATAATTCACATTTTCCAAGAAAATAAAGAAGAACCTATTTCTAATACAATAGAGCAAGGCTATTTTAAGCAGAAAACTATTTCAAAAAAAAAGTATATGATTACTACATTCACATTTTCTTTTTTTTTTTAAAAAAAGTGAAAGCCTATTATTAGTAAATATCATAGAGTAGGAACTAAAAATCTGGTTCTATACAATTAAGCAAGGCTATTTTGAGAAGAAAAGTATATGATTACTATATTTTTATGTTTAATAGAAATAAAATAAAATATATGCTATGGTTGCTGTGGCAATGATGTAATATCATGTCAATCATTATCTGAACTTCGAGAGCCCACCCTGTCGAACTCTACATTTGTCAGAATATTTGTCAAAATATTCTTTAGAGCATTCTTCAGGGCGTCCTTCAGAATGTTCTTTAGTGCATTCTTCAGAATATTCATCAGAGTGCTCATCAAGATATTCATCAGAGTATTTATTAGAGTATTTATCTGGATATAATTTAGCTTGATATGACTTATGTAATATGATTCATCTTAATATGTTTTAATGCAGTCTTGTATGTTTGATTTTAAAAAAAGACTAATCAGTATGCAATATCATACAATATTACTACAGATCTGAATCAAGTACATCTAACCAAATTTTACTAAAGATTCAAATTTATATGGATTCAAAATAATAGATCTGAACTCGATCTATAAGTGGATCTGGATTAGATTAAGATCTTTTGTGAAATACTACTTATCTTCACACTTTTAATCTCAAATATCTTAAGATCTACCAAGCTAATTTTGATAATTTAACTACTATTAAAACCAAAAAAATCTTCTCTACAACTTTACTTAGAAGCCCAAGAGACCCTAACTTAATAAAAACTTCTTTAAATTTGCAGATCCTTATATTTATATCTTTAACCTCAAATATTTTGGGATCTATTAAGCCAATTTTGATGATCTTATTATTATTAAAACCAAAAAAATTTTCTCTACAACTTTACTTAGAAGTCTAACAGACTCTAACTTAATAAATTTTTCTTTAATTTTAAAAAAATTAATTTTTTTAAATTTGATTGGTTATTTAATTGGCAAATCACGAGTCATCTGAACAAATATTTTTTTTTATATATATAAATTTTACTATAAGCCCGAATATAG